CATCGGGCACGCTAACACAGCGCGGGATTGGCGCGAGAACTTCCTCTTCAGCCGACCGTGCACGCCTGTTCGGAGTACTGCGACCCCCTCTGCCATACGTCCCGGCCACTCTCCTCTCCGTGGAGAGGGAGCAGTGCAGTGCCCATTGTCCTGCAGCTTGCGCAGTGGCCATGTGCCGTCTGGCCTGGCCGTCGTTTTGCTGCTTGCAAAGCATGCAAGCCGAAGGAATGAGCGATATTATTATGAGCAGGTGTATTGCCGGCCATCACTGCTGTTTACCCGAAGTGCTGGCGGCCATATGCCCTTCTGCCCTCCCTCTGACCAGTGCTGCATCCTCCCCAGGGCCAGAACTCATTTATTTGCTTTTTTGAGACACACTTCCCAGATGTTTTTTCTTTTCGGATTTTGCAGGTGTTTAGTTAATTCAGGCGTACGAGCAGTGCAGTTTTGCGTTTTCGGTGAATTTTGGGGGTCCCAAAGGCTGGCGTTTTCTCCTCCTCCAAGCGCCGCACTGAATTCACTGGCCCGCACAATGGGTGCCTCTCGAGAAATGTTTTGTATCCTTGCAAAGCCACTGCATTTCTCGGGGTTTCTTTCGAGCCGTGTCGCAGCAGCAGCAGTCGAGGGGCTGTGTGGGATCGCCTGGGCTGCAACCGTGGAGCGTTTTGTGGCAGAGCTGCGCATTCTTGTTTGAAAGAAGAGCACCTGTTGCTATCGCTACAGCTCGCCAGCTAACCAGCTGTCTTGCGCTGCTCCGCTGCAGCAGTCAGCAGTCGCGCTGCAAAAGATGTGCTTCAAGAAGACGGCTCCGTGAGTGAGAAAAAAGGCGTTGAAGCTGGACAATTAAGGTGGCATGTTTACCAGGATGGGTGATCCACAGACCCTAACTTGACGTGCGTATTAGGCAGTGCTTCAACAACGTCAACGCTTCATCCCAGGATAATCTCAGTGGCATTTTTTTTTTTTTTTGCTTTATGTCATAGCTAGTATCTGTAGTACTGGATGTGCAGGGATTTTGGATGTTCAATAATTTTGAGGTGCGACGTCCGGCATTGGCCGTGCAACAGCGGTGCTTTTTCATCGGCTGGGCGCATCGGTTGTTGTGACCGGTCGAAATTCAAAACGACTGAAAGAACTGGAAGAGGAGCTGAGCGATGGCAAGGTTCTCTTCTTTCTCTCTTTTCGCATTTTCGATTGTTTCGCAGACAACACTTCTCCGGGCCAGGCGTCGTGGGACATTGCACACTGCAGTTGGCAGTCTCACTTCCGTGCTTCCCCATAAATACCACTCTCAATGTATCCTCTTTGTTACTTTGTACTCTTTGTCCATTTGTCCATCCTCTTTGTAACTTTAATTTTAGATGATGTGTATTTATGTAAAAAGTAAGGTTTAAAAAGGAATAAAAGAAAGGTGAATAAGATAAATCGGATTAAAAAACCTGAATAGGAATGTTTCGGTCCTTTAAGTCGCATACATTCCTGTTCACTGCTGCAACTGGACCTCATCAGTGTGACGGTTGCAGCAAAAGTAACATGCAAAGTGTCAAAAAGAAAAAGGGGAATGTTGAAAATGTAAAAAGGTTGTACTGTCCATCAACTCCTGTTTAGGACACCCTTTGGTAGTGGCTAGAAGAGTTAGTCGTGGCGAGGTCTTGCAGAGGCGCTAAAAAGCTAGCACGCAAACTTTTGCATGTTTTAAACAAAATGAACATAAAGTAAGCGGCCCGTCATACATCTTCATCTGGCAGTCCGAGCCACAGTCCCCAGTGCTTACACGCCGGGAAAGCGGCCAGCCTTGCCCATAGCCGGTGAACGCCACTTCTCATTGAAGGCCCGTTGCCGGATGGATAGATGCACTGGCCTCCTGAATTACTTTTGTCCACTGTGAAGGCGGTTCAGAACAGGAGGTGCTGCTCACCCCGCTGCATCTCAGTACCATCGAAGCCACGCCAGGCACTGCCTATGGTTTTCTTCTCTAGTAAAATCTTCATGACGATATCCGTTTTTCTACTGTGTCTGTCCCCGAACAGCCGGAATCACTGCAGCTCTTTTTTACACAACAAATTGCTGGAGGTTGTTTTAGGACAGTGTTTTGGCCGTTGCGAGCGATCTCACGAACGATGACGATATCCGTGCACTCGCGAAAGCAGCTGTTAAAAAATTTAATACTTTGGACATTTTGGTGAGTGTTTTTTTGTGGTGTGAGTTCGATTAGCAGCGTTCGGCAGTCGATCGTCCAGTTGCTTCTTTTCTTTACCTTCTCATCGTGGGGCAGTTTTTTTTTTTCATTTCTTTTCACTTCGGATAAAGAATTGCCTTCCTGGATGTTCACAGTTATTTGGATTTTGCTGCCCGTTAGCACGAGAGAGATAGTGAGACAGGTTCAGCAGCATTTGAAAACATTTGCCCCTAAAACAGCGGATGATCTTAGAATTTGTGTTAATGATTGTGATTGTATTCGTTTCAGGTCAATAACGCTGGTATCATTGAAACGGGCACTATTGAAAGTACCACGATGGAGCAGTTTGATCGGATAATGTCGGTCAATTTGCGTGCCATGTTTTATTTGACGAAACTGTTGCTGCCACAGTTGACTGCTTCCAAAGGTTCCATCGTCAATGTGTCGAGCGTGAACGGAATCAGAGCGGTTTGAATTGTTGCTTTTAATTCACCAAAAGTAACACAGGGCTGAGTTTATTTTGATTTCCAGATGTTGTCAGGGAGCAAAACGAAAAAACGGGTTGCTGATTGTAATGAAAGAGGCGAAGCTTTAAGGTTTCTTGCTTCTAACTTACAAGAATGCCGTGAAGGGCATCATCGCACTTGCTAAAGGCGGTCGTGAGAAAAAACCCCTTAACTGTGGCTCCCTCCCCTCTTCTTGTCTTTTGTTCTGAACATTTTTTTTTTCGTTAAATTAGCGATTCTTACTTATTTTTTAATACAGTTCAGCGCCTCTGTGCTCGTTTTCCCTTCTTTGTTAGGTTTGGTTCCTCCCAGTCAGCTTTCTCCCTTTTGACCTCCGTTTTTTACTTTTTTTTTACATTTTTTTTCTCTGCGGAGAAATTTTGGTACTCCATGAAATTACAAGAACGTTTTGCTCCATCCCTTATTCTCTGCTGCTTTTCAAAATGAGTCATTGGCCGAAATTCCCCTGCTTACAGATGTCTAGTTTTCAGTCACTTGTATTATAATGTTAGATTGTTTCAGTTTCCTGGTGTTCTGGCATATAATATGTCAAAAGCTGCAGTAGACCACTTCACACGTTGTGTTGCGTTGGAGTTAGCTTCGAAAGGAGTTCGCGTCAATTCAGTCAAGTGGGTTTAATAAACTAATCATTGCATTTTATGCAGGGATGTGCTTGAATTCTGACTGGGGGAGGGGGAGACGATAAGTACCATTCATGCAGGCAGTCTGGATCGCGTGCACATTGTTCCTCTGTTATATACCAATTAGAAATAATTGTAAAATGTTGCTTTTCCTGAATTTGGCTGGGTTAAAAGACGAAGTGGTGAGTTCGACGAATAGCAGTATCTGAGCCTTAGTATCCTGCTTTATTTTTAGGCGAGGTGGGAGACCGGGCAGAAAGAGGAGAGTGGGGGAGGGGGAAAATGATTATTTTTTAGGAGCGATTTGCATACACAGAATAACCGTTGACCAGATTTGAACGGTCGTGCACTTGGTGTTTGGTGTTGTCTCTTGAATTGTTAGGCTTTTGGAGTAGATCCATTGTTGTGGCTCCAGAGATCCGAACCACAGCTTTCTATGTATGGTGACGTACCGCATTATACTTTAATATAAAAAGTTGGGCAGATTTTTGACGTCGATATTTTCCCTGCTTCACCTTTATAAGTTGAATTCAACAGAAGTATATTTTAGTCCTGGCGTTACGAAAACCGATCTGCACAAGCGAGGTGGCATGGACGAATCGGCATATCAAGCATTCCTGGAACATTCAAAGACAACTCATGCGCTGGGGCGTGTCGGTGATCCAACAGAAATTGCAAATGCAATTGCATTCTTGGCGAGCAGTGCGTCATCGTTTATTACTGGTTCGTCGGTCCCAGTCGATGGTGGCCGACACGCAATGTGCCCACGTTAGAGATTACCAAGCTTCTTTTTCACTTCTCAGAAATGGCAGACTACATCTGCTTTTCTATGTATTATATTTTTGTTTTATGTTGTTTTGTTTCATTTAGTTTGGTTTTTATAATGCATATCTAGGACTGCTATAGTTTTAGGTGCTAGCCCTTGTAGTGGAAGACGTGAAATGTTTCCTATTTTCAGAAAACGAGCGTTGAATTTTCATTTCTTCCAATTATACTTCACATTTTTTGTCACTTTTTTAGTACACGAAAACATCAGATTACAGGTAGCATGCCCTCACCTGTACCTGGTAGCGGGTCGCATTTACGCATTCCGGGTTGGCTAGTTACCTGTATAAGATGTTGCTCTTTACCTGTATAGAACGCTGCTCGTTACCTGTATAGACCGCCCACCCTCTCGCGCTGTAGCGCTTCCGCTCCGCCCTCAGCTGTCGCTAGGACCAGTTCTGGTTCGCTCTTTTAGCTGCACCCTCCTTCCCCGCCCTTCCCTCGACTGTCCCCCATTCCCTCCCCGCCGTACCCGTAGCCTCTCATCCTTCTTAGCTGCACACGTATCTTTTCCCCGAAGTTTTATCCCCACTTTCTTCCCGCCTCCCTCTCCCCAGCCTCTATATTGCATAGTAATACAGCAATTAGTGAATGCTTTGTTTAATAGAAAATTAAAAAACCTCCATGAAACAGCGAACAAAGAACAAAGAAGTGCTTTTTTTCAAATCATTTTTCAAACAATCAAACATGCACTTCACCAATACATAAAAAAATCATTTAAAAAGCGAAATCAATATCATTTTTTCAATAAGGACAAATGCATTGTATAGGTTTTATGGTATTTCCGTTTACTTTTGTTCATTACAATAACCCAATCCCTATGCTCTTTTAATTTAATTTACCCATCTACTTTACCCATCTACAAGTTCTTTCCTTCCCCTTTTCTTAGTCAGTTTTTTCTAATTCGCCTGTTTGGCACCTTTTGTACCGTCATCACCGTAAAGGGGGGACATTTCCTCACTTCCGGGGCTATATCTTTTAGGCTGCTTATAGACTCTCGTCTTCTTCACTCTGGGTCCTGGTCTCGTTTACAGCCGGGAGTACGTGTCTTCCCACATCTCCCATCCTTGAACCCGATTCTTCTCGCCTAGATCC